TGTTGTCCACGTGTCCTTTGATACTAGATCTTCCGCTGCGCTGCTTCCCAGCCTATGATGATGATGRTACGAATGTGTTGTTATTGATTTCCCGTTGTTTCACTCTTTGCGTCGCGCACATTGACACCTTGTGAATGTTGCACCTATGCTGCTGGTTGTTGCCACTTTCGTCATTGCTAGATCCTAGGCTTTCAGTGCATTTCACTTTCTGATATGTTACAAGTGGTATTGGAGCTAGTGCGATGAATCTTGGCAACAACCAATCAATCTTTGATTGATTGATCAGTCAATCAGGAGATTGATCGAACAATCGATCAATCAACCAGCAATCATCTGAGATTGACTGACTGATTGATTGATTGATTGATTGATTTATTGATTGATTTATTAAGTTGATTGATTATTTGGCAATTGTTTATTTAATCTTGGAAATTTCCCGGAATTAATTATTTATTTATTTATTTCGGAGAAATTATTTCTTTTTTTGAGAATTTAATTATTTTTTTTTTCGAGAATTATTTTGTCGAGAAATTCTTATTCTTTTCCGAAAAATTATTTTTTCGAGAAATTTGGTTTCTGAGGATTTTTTTCGTTTTGAGAATTCTTTTTCCGAGAATTTTTTTTTTTTTTTTTTACCTTGTTTAATTGTTAAATGTCTGCATTTTGATAATTTTGGGATTCTTTTTCCGAAACTGTCCCTCTACACTTTCACTGCGTAGGTCTGCAAATTTCGTTCTTTTTTTCCCTTTTTTTTTCAAAAAAAAAAAACAAAAAAAAAAAGGGCATTTTTTTCTTTTGCAACCTACTCCTACTCTGAGTTATAAAGACCCTTCTTTTCTGATTCTTTGCAGTCCGAGCACCGAAGGTTCACATTTGCTTTCTGCATCACCTTCGATACTCAGTGGGATTGGACAGACTTTTTCCGAATTTTAAAGTTTTGTTTTTCTTCTTTTTGATTAGGAAACTGTTCAAATTGGGATCTGTCCGATCCTTCCCACTTGTTTGCTTCCTACCTATTCCTCCCCCTTCAGTCCGGGTACTGGGCCAGTCCATCAGATCGGCCCTCGGGTGACTCTTCAGACTTCGGGCACAGCAGTGCATGACACTGCTCACTCGATCACAAACCAAGGCCATGGACCGGAAGGCGGGAGAATCCCTCCTGGCCTATGAGGAACGTCTGGCGGCATTCATTCAGGAGGCCAACGATAGGGCGGCCGCCGCGGCCAAGGAACGTAATCGGCTCGAACAAGAGGAGGAGGCCAAGCGACAGAAGGAGGAACAGGACCGACTTCGTCAAGAAGAGGCAGACCTGCAGGCGGCAGCCGAACACCGGTCACGCCAGTGGGAACGACTGTTCACGCGGGAGACCGTGATCGGCGACGAGGCCGCACATTGGGTGGAAGTGACATCTGCAAACGGGGCCCCGGAGATTGAGAAAGGGCTGTCAGCCCTTGCGCAGGTCTCCCACGACCTCGTGGCCACCTGCGCTCTGCAGCAGGAGAAAATCCTTCACCTGCAGCAGACAGTGGACCAGATGCTCGCACGGCTGCAGGCGTTGGAGAAACAGCCAGCTGCTGTTGCAGCCGCAGGGCCTTCCACCCTTACCACCCGTGTNGTGCAAGTTTTGGAGGATGACGTCAGCAACATCAAGCGTGTGCATCAGGACTTCCGGACGTCACAGCAAGCAACGAACTTGCAGTTGGAGACGCAGGTACAGGCTGCTGCCACCGTGACGCCCGCCGCCGCATCCTCCCGGCGCCCACCCAAACTGGATGACATTCCAGTTTTCTGCGATCAGTCCAAGACGGAACCGATCCCGTGGTGGCGCCAGTTTACTCTCAGGCTCGACATGCATCATGTCCCGAACAACGATCGGCATCCGTGCTTGTACCACCGATCTGGTGGTGCATGTCAAGCATGGTTGGACAACATCTTGACCAGCCACGGCGTAGCAGTGTCGGAACTGCACACCAAGCTCACTTGGCAGGAGTTGACTGACGTCTGGCACAAGCGATTCCAAGTGGAGCCGCCCGACCTGCAACGATCTGGTGGTGCATGTCAAGCATGGCTGGACAACATCTTGACCAGCCACGGCGTAGCAGTGTCGGAACTGCACACCAAGCTCACTTGGCAGGAGTTGACTGACGCCTGGCACAAGCGATTCCAAGTGGAGCCGCCCGACCTGCAAGCGATGGACAAGCTCAACAAGCTCCATCAGAACACGCTGCTCAGTCAGGACTGGATTACCGAGTTCCAAAGACTCGCCTCCACACCTGACCTGCCGTTCACATTCTGCGCCATCAAGCACTTGTTTATCATGCGCTCGTGTCCAGCTCTGCAAAACGCGCTGACGCAGATTGCAGAGACACTCGACACATCTGACAAGCTTTTCAGCACAGCGTCACGGATCATTCTCACGAATATCGAAGCCCGCAACGCTGACCGACCTTCCGCGACGACGAGCGGCACCCAGCCCAAGCCAAAGGTGGCTTGCATTACTTCTACCGAGGCTGCAACACCAAACGAGGGTGAAGTGTTGGCAGCTGCCCGGGATGGTGGCCGGTCGCGCAACAACCACGGCCGCGACAAGACGAAGACTCAGTCCACCTCTACACCGAGCACCGGATCAGCCGCCGACGAACCTTGGGCACAATACGGACTCTCGACGAATTCTTATCGCACGAGACTCAAGTACCGTTACTGCCTTTGGTGCAACAACACCATCCACGATGCTGCACATTGCCCCACCAAGGGGAAACCCCGTCAGGGAAAGTAGGCGCCGCCGAGGGAAACTCGACACCTCCCTCGACGCCATTGGAAGCGGTTGTGGCCACGACTGCCCTTTCTTTTGAGGCATATGCGGATGTCGGGAGTCTTCAACTTTCGTTCGAAGACTTCGCTGCCCGGCTCGTTCCTTCACTGGATGCTACTCAAGGACAAGATACATGTGCGGCTTTCTCACCGTCTGAAGGTTTCTTCGCCAGTTCATCTTCATCAAGGGATTCGGCAAGCGTGTTCAACGAGGAGGCTTTGGACCCGCTCACGCCCGAGGACTTCGCTTGGATTCCTCTCCCTACGACGGGCAACCTTCCGGGGCCGCAAAGCGCAGCCCTATGCGCCCTCTTACACGAGTATCTTTCCTTCCATGCACCACCAACTTCGCCGACGGTAGACGAAGTCGCGGCGGGGGACATGCTTGGCTACGTTGCCAAGGTGGCCCGCGAGTTTGTCTCGCAACGGTACGCAGAAAACAATGCACCGTTGCTCTACGTTCGCATTCAGATTGGGCAAGCGGCCTGCAACGCTTTGCTAGATTGCGGTGTAACTCGCAACTTCATCAGCCAGTCCTTCATGACTCGGGCTGGCCTTGGCACACAAGTACGGAGGAAGTCACATCCAACGACGGTTGCTCTTGCCGACGGTAAGACGAAACAGCTTTTAGACCGTTACATCTCGGCTGTCCCGGTGTACTTTGCACCGCACGCATGTGAACCCGTCACTTTTGACGTGTTGGACACCGACTTCGATGTCATTTTGGGGATGCCTTGGCTTTCTAGCGTGGACCACACGGTCAATTTCCATCAACGCACGCTCACGATTCGTGATGCAACTGGCGCCGAGGTCCCGTGTACTATTCCTCCCCCTCGCTCTTCCATTCGGTGCCAAGTCGTAAGTGCCAAATCTTTTTGAGACACATGCCGTTTCGAGCATGTCGAAGAGATTGGCATCGCTTTTCTTCGAACCGTCCCGACTACCGATTCATTGTCCACGGATGTGTCTTCCGACCCCCGCGTGACCCGGTTGTTAGACGAGTTCTCGGATGTTTTTGAGACACCCTCCGGTATAGTGCCGGACCG